GGAAGGTGCTGTGGATGACTTTAATTGGCTGGAAGAGGTTAGGGTTTATGGTTGGGAGGGGGAGCCGGGAGAGGATTAGGGTTAGGGAGAGGTACAAGAAGACAGTGGAAGTCAGGAAGAGAGGAGAGGCGCCTAGGGTTTGGCCCTGTATCCACGAGAACTCGGCGATCTTCGGGTGACCGACGAGCCAATATCGGAGCGTGGAAACGATACCGGTGGCCATTGGGGAGAAGAGGAATTAGCTAATGGCGATGAGGAAGAAGGGAACAATGGAGATGACAAGGTGTGGAAAGCGTGGAAGAGAGAGTTAGGGGAATTTGCAAAATGGGAGTGAATGGCTAAATGAATTAGTACTACTGCTTTGGCTATCTTTATCTGACCGTCAATTCATGGCTTCTGTTTATAGACGTGCATCTATTAACAACATTACTAGCTTTTCAACACGAAACGATTTTGGGAAGTGAATTTGAATTTCTCAATTCTGATGTTAACATATTTATATCGTGCCTTTTTTTTTTTTTTTTTCACTTAATTTGAAGGAGTAGTATACTTACTACTTGAGAGGGATTAATACGTTTATGTTCTTGAGTTCAGTCATATGGTAAACAGTACTAAACATGATCACGAGAACTAAATGCGAATATATATTAAGTTACTGAAAAAATATTATCAGTGTGTGTATTATTCAATTTTAGCTGCATTCATTATATGTATATATAGAAATTCATTTCTCATGCTTAACGTGTATAATGTAGTTAGCACCTCTTCTTCTTCTTGTTTTTTTTTTTTGTTTTTTTGTTTTTTTTTTGTATGAATAAATGAAGTTAAAATCCCTAGTACGACTGGTATAATTTGAGGGACGGGTAGTACTAAGTTGGAGGCTCCATATATATTTATACATACATATATATATATATATATATATATATTATAGGTTGCCAAAGTAGCCAAAATTATGATGGTGAGATCCATATATTTTAGTACTAATCACATACTTATTGCATGTTCGATAAAGCTAGCTGTACATGCAATGTCAGATTATTTCCTTTTAATCTTTACGGGAGAGCAATTGCTTAGAACATCTTAGCGCAATTCCAGGCATTGCTTTCTAAAAAAAAAAAATCAGTTACACCACATAGAAAATTAATAATATATAATAATTTCAAGAAGAGAAAAAATAAAAATAAATAAATAAAACCTTTGAACTGATGAGGGTGTAAATTAAAAAAAAATGTATATATTAATTCCAAAATGGACAGCAAATTAGTGAAAATGTAATTTGATAGATAAACTGAAGGGGAGAGCGAAAAGTTCAATAAATCTAAAGTGGAAAAGCTACAAAAATTTGTATGCAAAAGGCTTCGAAAGAAGAGGCAAGGCAAAGAATGATGAAAATCATAATTTCCAGTGTACTTGTTTTCAATGAATGATAAAATCGGAAAAATCTTTTTAAAGAAAAACAAAAAGGGTAATGAAACTATTTTATATGCATTTTATGATGTCGATGGGCAATCATATATAACATTTTCTAATAAATATTGTAACCAAACTTAGGACTGATCATAAATGGACTAATTTATCTGCTAATGACACTAATTAATGCTTGGTTCCTAAATTTTTCTATCAACCCCACTTTAATCATATCTATTAGTTTGTTTCAATTTTAATTGATTTAATCAGTTGAGTGTTAATAAAAACATAACAAAATAACAATAATACTCAGGTAGCAGTGTTATTTTACATTTTTGTGTCATAAGCACATACACATTCCTTGTTATACTAATAAAATACTATTTTCCTTTCAACATAAGGTGCATATTTTATTCTATTTTTTTACACCTAATTGATAAAAAAGACTAAAATTAAAAAACAAAATAATAGATCAAAGGCAAAAATTTGGGAAATTTTAAAACTCATAAACTAAAGTGAGATTAATAGTATTTGTGATATTTCCTGAAGATACTTGTTGGGCTCTATCCTTAGTTATCCTCATTGCTCATCCTTTTCCCGTCTTTGCAGAGAGAAATTTAAGCTCCGTTCATTTTACCGATTTGAGTTTAGAATTTAAGTTTTGCTACATTAAAAAACTCTTAGAAATAATTACATCTAACTTTTTTACTACAATAAAAAACTATCACATAAAGTCATATCTCAACTCGAATCAGTTAACTAAACGGGCTCTTAAGTTGTTTCCAGTTTTGAATTTATTACAGGCAAGTGGCAACCATAAAAAGCACTGACTATTAGAATTAAAAAGGACTCTTCTCTAAACATAAAACTATATACCTTGGCCAAGTGTTAAAATCTATTTGAAATTGTCAAAAATATTGGCGGTTAATTGATCTTAAAATGCGTAATGAGTAGTATTTCTGGCAGTTTGTTCAGGTTATTATGTGAGAGCCATTAAAATATATTATTAGTATATAGGCAGCAGAATTTCAGCTGCAACTTCCAATTAAAGTTGGTCTTGCCTTTGGAATTTTGTTTGCCGAAACCTGCGATAAAAGCATGAATGCTGCTCAATGCTCATATAATACATGACCGTGTCCGTGATTTTAATTATTCTATGGAAAAAGCATTTGTTCGACAAATTAGAAAGTGCAGGCCTATGTGTTTTACATCCCCATTAGACACAAAAGGTGTTGCCCCATAACCTCCATCACGGTGGTGCTGAGCACCACCATTTAATAAAAGATAAATTTATGTAGGTGGAGCCTATCTTCTATTACATAGTGGTGTTTAGCATCACCCGTATCTTATAACATTGTTCTTTAATAAATGAATACTAATACTTGTATTTTACTTAATTTCTTGATAAGTGTAATAAATGTTAAATTTATGTATTTATCCTTACTAAGTTCAGTGTTATAAATCACTGATTATTTAAAAGACAATTTGGTAACTACTTTGATAAAATTTCTATTTTTAAGTGTAATAAACACTAAAAAAAGGGGCTATTTCTCATTAGCCACCAAATAGATAAGTAAATACTAGAAAAAAAAAATCAATAATACTCATTTCTATTAGCTCACTTTTCATTGCAATTTGATTTCCTTTTCCATTACATTTATTTACGGAACACAGCCTCAAACCCCTCAATACTGTGAGATCAACTCCTCATGGAAGAGTGTTCACAAAACTACGATTAATCCAAATTCAAAATAGTAATAATAAATAAATAAAAACTAATAAGCCAAGGGTATTATTTAACAAAGTTTGGCACACTAAAATAGGAAAAACGTTCTTAAAAGTGAATTGACACAACAACAAAAAAAGGGAAAGATTCTAAAAAAAAAGAAAAAGAGTGTAATATTGAAGCTCAAACAAGGCAACCAATAAGAACCACAGATTGAACCAAAAAGACTAGGAGCTTTTAACTTTCTCTTGGTGACCCTGGCCCACACTCCCCATCCTCTTCCTATTCTGGTAACTCTTGGCATGAAAATCAACAAAAAGTGCCAAAAGCGAGGCGTTGAAAGCCGCATTGAAGCACCAACCCCATATCCCGGAGCAACCCGGCCCACTAAAATGCAAGTACAGCATCCGGCCCGAAACCGCAAAGCTGAACACGAACTGCACGATCTGGCAGTCCGTGACGGCCCGCTTCCACTTGGGCCGGATCCCCATCGCGCAGAGGAAGTAGTATCCGTACATGATCACGTGCACCGTCGCGTTGGTCACGAGCGCCACCGGGAACAGCGACTGAGCCGTACGGAGCCATAGATAGCACATGATAACGACCGTGGCGTGGTGGTACACGTGGAGGAAGGAGAGCCGTCGGATGGAACCGCCGAGGATGATGAGAGCCGTGTCGCCGAACTCGAGGAGCTTGGAGAGGTAGAAGACGTGGGCCCAGAAGAAGAGGGGCCCACTGGGTTGCATTCCTTTAGGGAAGCAGATAATGCGGTGGAGGTTGGAGACGGAGAGGATGGAGAGAGAGCATCCGACGGCCATGATTAGGGAGAGAGAGAAGAGGAGGAGGCTGTGGACGGCTGTGATTGGTTTGAGGAGTTTTGGGATGAGAGGAGAGAGAGTGGAGCGGGAGAGGAGGAAGGTGAGGGAGAGATAGGAGAAGACAGTGAGGAAGACGAAGAGTGGGGTCGAGCCGAGGGTCTGGCGTGGGACCCACTTGAAGTGGAGGATGGTTGGGTGGTAGACGAGCCAGTTTTGGAGGGTGGAGAGGATGGGAGTCATTGCGGGTGGAGCGCACGCGCCGCCGTGTGTGGTGGAGGAAGGAGGAGGTTGATTTAGCTTGGGTATAAGGGCGGGAATGGATATCCGTTGTTTTTGGGTTAGTTGAGAAGAAAGTGTTAATGGCGATCCGCCGTTGGAAGATAATGTTATCTCTTTCTGATGTGGGGCCCGCAGAGGTCTCGTCTTCTTCGTATATGGCGCTGTTGTTGGTGAGGCTGTTCATGTATTGGCGCGGGATACCGTTTTTTTTTTCTCTCGCTTTAAAAGTATAGGTTACACATATTTAAAGTAGAAAAATTTCCCAATCTAATGATGTTTGGATTAGGTTGAAGCGGTGTGGGATGGATTGTGTGATTAATTTTAACATTTAAAGAATTAAAGACTCAAAGTTCAATCCAACATTTAAAATTTATCATTAAATAGAAATAATAACTACAACATTTAAACAGATAAAAATTTAAAGTTCAATCCAACATCAAACATGAAACAAAGTAGTCCATCCAACATCAAACATAAAGTAAACATAAATTAATCTACACTCATAAATTAGTTTTAACATAAAGCAAACACAGAGGTTTAATTCAAACATAAAAAAATTAGAGAGTAGAAATGAGTTGCTTGCCAAGAATTAGATATTAGAGAAGGCAAGTTAGAGCACAGATTGAGTTGGAGTGTGCGGGCTATTATAGGCCCAACTCACCCCGCCCTAAAATTTCGAACCAGACATTGAATAGGCTGAAAAAAATAATTTAATACTAAAAATTGTATTTTTTGAATTAGATTTTGCTGGGGTAGGTTGGGTCTGGGGTTTATGAACAGCCCTAGTTGTTGGTATGTTGGAGTTGGACTAGAAGCCCCAGTCGTTCAGTTATCTTATTATTATTTCCATGGAAAAGGTTATTATTATTTTCATGGAAAAGGTGACAAATATTTTAGAGTGGATGAATAGTTTTTATTTTTATTTTTTTTTGAAAGGTCTAACTTTTTATTTGTTGATTGATATCGTTTTTAGTTAAATAATAAAATTAGTAAAAAAAAATTATTAACAAAAAAAGTGTAAAAATTCAACTCATAAATTTGGCAATTTTCTCTTATTATTATTTCTACTATTATTATTTATTATTAGAAAATGCACACTAATTTCTACTCGAATGACCTCAAACCAGGAAAATTTAATCCCAATAATAGACACGTTCAGTTATCCTTTTTTCAAACAAAAAACAACAATAATGCATTAGCATAATAATTAAACAACAATTATAATAAAAATATAAATAAAAAGAAGCCTGTTCAGTTCTCACTTCCCTGAACAAAACGTAGCTAATGACAAAGTAAATGGCATTTTCTCATTCAAAACGGAATATTCAAATAGCAACACTCTTTAGTCTTTACTGCCATAAAGAATGCGTGTTTATAAAGAACCCAGTGCCCCCCCAAAAAAAAAAAAAAAGTGCAACATGACGAGTATCCAAATGCTGACGTAGTCAGGAAAGTCTTTGGAGAGACAAACATCCAGCATCAACTAGCAAAAGCATTTTTGATGCTCTTACGTAGGATGTTTGGTAGAGGGATTCGTTCCCTGATTCGAATCATGATTCGTAATTCACTACAGTATTTTTTCTCATAAAAATTCACGTAAATCAAAAATGATTCGAATCACATGGTTTGAGTTCTCCAACCAATCATCAGAGTCCATTTAGTTCATAGATTAAAATCATGAGATTAGAACTATTTTCGATTTACGTGTTTTTTATGAGAGACAATACTGTAACGAACCATGAACCATGATTCAAATCAAAAAACGAATCCTCCAACCAAACAGGAAGATTCTGTTTATTTCACCGATTTAAATTTAAAATTCGAGTTTTATTAGAGTAAAAAATTCTCTAAAACAGTCACATTTAATTTTTTTATTACAGTAAAAAACTCTCATATAAAATCATATCTCAACTCAAATTAAAAACTCAAATCAACGAGTTAAACAAACCTTAATTAATTAATTAATTAAAGCCCTAGCAAAAGCATATTCAGCAATTATATTGCGAAAAGAGCTTTTTACATTATTCCTTAGAAACCAATTCTTGTCCCAACAAATAAACATTGTAATTTACTGGAAAAAAATGTCAACACAAAACATTCAGATCGGAATTCAACAGGACAGGACAATTAGCATTGGAAAAATGGGAATTTAGCTCCAGATAAGAAGAAAGGCAACAAAGGCTTTCCAACCAGGAAATTCTACTCTACGGCTACCTCGGTTTGTCATTGGCAACACCCTCTCCTAATGCGAAAAATAAATTTCTACAGTAGACGACCTCCCAGTTGCTCTCGGTTTTCAAAGATTTGGCGAGCAAGCTGCATCATTCTCATGCGACAAAATTGGAATTATATAGATCTTATCAAGTAAATTATGAACTTGAAGCCACCTTCTTTCGGACTATCCTCTTTCTACGTGCTCTAGGTGCCGATGATTCGCCATCAGCCGCAGAATCAACATTCGACTGTTTGATGCCGAGAAGACCAAGCCCAGAAATAATGGCGTTCTTCGATATAAACCATTTGGAAGATGATTGATCAACATTCTCAGAAGGCCTATTGTAAGCTTTCAAAAGATTCTCCGACTGAGCAAGGGGATCAGCCTCCACACCTAGCCAAGCTAGCCGCGATGACTCTCCTAATTGCACATTCAAAATCCTGCACACATATTCGAAACAAGAATAAATGCTAACTCTGCATGAGGCCCTAACAAAAGAAAGAGATGTCATAAATGCAAATATGCTATCTATCAATTTGAAGGCCAATTTACAAAATAGTAATACTATTGCTGAGCACTTCGACAAATTCAATCAAAGCTTGGAAGAAGATGAATCAAGCATATTATGGAACTAACTTGATGTTTTCAAGAAAATATTTAAATCTTTCAAGGCTACAGAGATACTCCATTTTGCTATAATTGTTTTTGGCAGGAGCACCATGAACGTGTACCTTTTTTTTTCCAAAACCAACAACACCACGAACTTGGTAGTGATAAATCATTTAAAATCAAAGGTATATTCTGGAATAACACTTTTACAGCATTGTTCCCCAATAAAATAAATAGTATTCTATTGCAAAATGATCAATCTGTACTTAAAAACTGAAATAGTGCTTTAAAAGCTGAATTCAAATGGCAATATAGTTGTGCTTTCCCCGAGAAGAAAAGAGGGAAGAAAGGGGCCCTAAAGACAAAAAGTAGGAAAGGCATTTATAGACAAGCCATATGACGCAATAAATTTGAAATTTATACATGTAGAGACAAACCTCAATGCTGTGCTGAAAAATAGTCCCACTCCAATAACATCAAAATAATTTATCATAGTTTTATCAAATCCACATAAAAGCTGATATCGGAGGTTCGCATAAAGCCCAAGGAAAGCACCGTAACCAAGAGCATTAGTTCTGGCACTTGGGATTGTCACAGATAACCTGCCAAACAAGTTAACAATAGCACACATCTAAATTAGTTACCCTAGCGTCTCTCATTTTGGCAAGTCCAAATTTTCCGAATAACAAATACCAAGCAGTATTTTTTTTTTATTTTTTTATAAGAAACGAACTTTATTAAAAATAGAAATAACAAGCACAAAAAGGAGGAGAAGGTGGACAAGAGGTCCACTGCAAGCAGTATACGAAACAATTAAATTCTAAACCAATTCAACAAAACTAATGTATCAAAATTCTCCCACCTCATATATTCCTTTTTTATTCATAGCGACAAAATGCTATTAAGATAATTCATGTTTCAAAAAATATATACACCAATTACAAAGAATCTACTTTTTCTTATTGTACAATACACACTCCATTTAAATAAGTACCAAGAATAAGTGATAGACTTCAGTGTACAGCGTATCAGGTATATTTCAAAAGAAGTTTCCTAAGTAGGAAGGACTGATGCTATGGAGATTTATTGTAACAAGAATATGCAACACTTGCATCAACCCTACACGTATCATTCTTTTCCATTTAATTAAATAGATAAAGGAAAGATAAATCAAATTGGGTTTCTAGACTCCTTTACAACATTATTATTATCAGTTTAGACTATCATCCACTATCTAAAAGAGTAGGTCATCCCTCCAAGATGCTAAATCGTTCAAACCCTCGCCAAATGCAACACATGCCCCATGAACAATTACACTTGAAGGTTAGCAAAGAACAATTTTTCGTTTTTCTTTTATCATGATCTATTATAGAATGCATCTTCCATTTATTTTTGGTCTTTGAGTCATAATTCAATGCTTCAACTTATCCACAAATATACAATTATATGGTAATCTTTCTCTTCATACCTCCCCTCCTTTTTACTGGCCAAAAAGTTTGATAAAGAACCCTGCAGTGCTCCAGCTGTTAGACCAACCATACACAATTGAGCGGCCTTGTAGAAGAAAGAGTGAACTCTCTTTTGTAGATCAAACTCCCTCAGCGGATAGCTCTTTTCAAATATATTGTTTGGAAGCTTCTGCAATGTATTTTGCAAATCAAACTGGAATGTATTTCCATATGAACGGCAAGGAGCAAGTGACCAAACAACAATAGCATTGCATGCTGCCACTGTGAGCACATTTACAAGCGCCAGATCCCACTCTTGTTTTATCCTGTAGCAAATTAAAGAAAAACCCCTTCACTTTAATATTATAAATAGAAGCAAACGACCCTTTTTTAAGGTTTTTTTTTTTATAAAAAAAAATAGCTGAAGTTTTGTAAAATTAGCAAAATGGCCCTTTTTTCTGTTAACCAAATGGTCAATCACTAATTGACTAGCGGTCAATCACTGATTGGCTTAAGTTTATCGATGATTAACTCGATGATTTTCATTATTAATCAATATTAGTTAATAATTACCCAAAATTAATTAGTAATTAATCAATTTCAATCAACAAATTACATGTTTATTAATGATAAATCATTGGTAAATTATAATAATTAATAGGTCAATCATTGATTGACTTTCGGTCAATCATTGATTGACTACTGGAAAAAAAAGGCCATTTTGCTAAAATAAAAAAAGTTCGGCCACTTGTTTAAAAAATAAAAGTTCAGCCATTCGTTAAAAAAGATAGTTAAAAAAAACAGCCATTTACCTAATTTTCTCAATAATAAAACAAGAGGAAATGTAATATCCGTGTGGGTGCATGCTTGGTGTGTGTTGTGAAAAAAAAAAAAAAAAAGAGATACCTCTCCCTGCGATTCTTCAACTCCCACCGAACCGCAAAACCAATTGTAGCAGCCTGCTCTAAAAGAAGCCTATATAAAAAAGCAGGATCTGCAATCATCCTGAATGAAACAACAATATCACATATCACTCAGGGTCAGAACGATGATGAACAAATTTATTTGTAGAAGGAAACCAAAAATCAAGAATTAAGTAGCCAGAGTTTCATTGTTAGTCATAAATATATAATTATCACAGGAAACTATATTCAATACTGAAAGTTTTGTCAGATAATAAAGATGTTAATTACAGTTATTACGTTTTTGGTTAAACTCATTCAGACTAGCAAGTTTCAGATTTTGACGAATTATGAAATTAAACAAACACTGCAGCTTTGATGGTACAAATGGTGCAACTATTCTACTCATTTTTTACTTGACAACTCTAACGATATTTCTCTAGAACCCACATCCATTAGAAACCACAAATTGCAATGTGAACTCTATTTACATCAGAATTTTCCTTATCCTAGAGATCTTCTCCAAGTAAAGATTGTACACTATGTAATCCGGTAAGACTTATACTTCTTCTCAGGATTAAAGAGAAAACTGAAAAAGCCACAAAAAGATACACCAGAAAGCAGCTAGAAATTATTAAAAACAGTGAACCCTAAACTATAAAACACATAAATCTTTTAACACACTTTATTAAATCTTCATTATTCCTATTTTCAAGAGCTCTTCTAGAGACACGAAGATCTGGACATGCAAAACTTCTACTCCAAAGTAGGAACTTGAAAGAAACTAAAAAAAAAAAAAAAAAAAAAAAGGGGACCATAACTGAAACCTAGAACTTAAAAGAAATGAAAACTCATAACTACAGTGGTATTGTAAACCAAAAAAAAAAAAAAAAAAACAGCTGCACTTGTGAAAATCACCTGCCAATGAATGCTCTTGAAATCCCTTCAGGAAGGGATCGGTAAATCAACCTGTTAGTGGTTGGCCTCGCATTGATTGCTAAGAATTTAACCATTTGAGCTGAGCTCACCAAACCCTGGACCAACACAACGAATTAGTCAGCACATCTGAGAAAAAGTTTACAGAAAAAGCAACAGGGGCAAGGGCCAAACCATTTCATAAGCTTGTCGGAAACCAGCCGGCAAATCCATCATTGTCTTCTGCCACTCATTCAATACGGCGTCGACAAACTTCCGATCAAAAAGCTAAAAAGAGCACAAAACTTATCAATGCAAATGAGAATAACCAACCAAAAAAAAAAAAAAAAAAAAAGCCAAATCAGAAAAGGTCATGTTTGGAGGAATATGCATTGGCCAACCTCTTCGAGAACCATTCTTCTCCTAAACAAGCCGCCCTCGTCTCCCTCATCACCTTCGTCAAAGTCATCAAAATACTCATCATCATCACCACCATTGTCATCACCTCCATCACCACCACCGTGATTGAGATTTTTTCCAATATCTCCACCACCTCCTCCAACGGCTGTCTGGAGATTAAAATCATTGGCCATAAATAAAACAAGCTAATTCAAATGTGAAAAGAAGATGGAACTTCGAATTTGAGAACTTATACACCTGTTGCCACCCATCTACAGATGAAGGGACACAAAATCTTACTTTTGAAAAAAATAAAATAAAATTGAATCCTCGGAGTAGTAACTACTCGGCCTACCAGATCTTTCCAGTTCCAAACACAAATTGATGATCTATGTATCACTTTTGTAATGACATTGTTGAAATGAGTAATTCTGTTTAGAAGTTTTGTTGCAATGTATCATACTAAAGGTCTCATGTTGCAATGTATTGGATCCATCTCACCAAACATTTAAGACAGGATTCTTCCTCAGAAATAGAGAAAAAGTAACAAGACCATAAAGGCCAAAACTACTTGGTGTTGATGCGGACATCCTAAATATACCACCATTCACGCACACCCTTTGACATAGCAGGCCACTTAAGAAGGAAATACAAGAAGGGCATAATAAACCAGAAACTTATAGTGGACAATTTAATTCATTAAGTTACGATAAACTTTTGGGATTTATGTTCGTTTCTTGGTTCATACAGCAATGTCCAAGAGGAAATGAAAACATTATATAATCCCACTTCTTTCATAAAGATTTCTGTTCATACAAGTACATTTAGATGGGGCAAAAACACACGAAAAAGTAATCTTCAATGCTTAAAGAATGAACGTTTCACAATCAGGCACTCAATACTCTCCCAACATTGTACCCTGTATATGTTAAACAAGTTTAGGGCTATGATCCTAGCAAATAAGATTATGACCAAGCGATCAAGTACCTCACAATTCAGTTATTGGATGCTTTACATACATAATGTTCGACCTATTTCAATCCAAAAAAATTTTTAAGTGTTGTAAACAACACCGCAGCAGGCCCTGAATTGTTCACTTTCCAATAATAAGAAAACACCAAGACTAAGACTTGCAAAATAAGTTTTTAATATTCTTGGTCATTTCTTAGTTCATGCACTTCCACAAATTGCATCTTTTTTTAGGCCAATCTTCAAGACTGTTAGCAACAGCAATTTCACCATTTTCTATAGTACTTCAACAAATTCTAACCAGGTCTTAATTGTTCGCTTTCTTCCTATTATTAACAAGAACCCAAAGTGAAAATCCCCAAAAATGTTTCAATCTTTAAAAACAATACAACAGAAAAAGAAAAACGAACTAAAAAGAAAAGGGCTAACCTCGGGGCTAGACTTAGACTGCTTCTGAGATAAATTGAGCTTCGATTTCTCGAGCGTCACCGCACCCAACGCACCGTACTTTCCGCCCTTCATAACCGGACCAGTAGTACCAGGCGCCGGCGGCGCAACGAAACACCTCTCTAACAGGGTCATGGAATCTTCGCCCGCCACAGCCGAAGAAGACGAAGAAGAAGACGAAGACGACGCTGAGACCTTCAAGGGCGCCGGAACCGCCACGCCTCTCCAGATTTTGCGGACCACCAGCTGGGTGGGACCCACCGGCTTGACCTTGGGTGTTGGAAGAGACGGCAAGCCTTTGGGTTTCACCGGGTGCTGAGTGTTGATAAGCATGATTTGGGCAGTTTGGAACGCCGCGTGAGACATTTTTTTCGTTTTCGTTTTCTCTTTCTTTCTGTTTGGATAGAGAGAAACTCTGCTTTCTCAGAATTTTCTCATGGGTAGGGAAAATCGCTCGCTTCTTCTGAGGTTGTTGGTGGTTGAAGGCGGTGGAAATTAAGGAGTTTGGATTGGTTTCTCTCTCTAAAGGCGATTTTGTAGAGAGAGGGAGAGAGAGAGGGAAGAGAAAGAAGGGAGGTTGGAGAATTGGGGTTTTTAAGGGGGAAGTATAAGCGAGAAAGCCGACTGGCTGGACTCTACGAGACAGACACTCTACCCAATCCGAAAACGTTTGGGTTTTTTTTTTTTTTTTTTTTTTTTTTTTTTTTTTTTTGGTGTGTTTTGTTTGTGATCCGTTTAACTCGGTGAGTCGACTCAGAGAGTTTCGATGTGTCGGTTCGTCCGGCCTTGTTTGTGGGCCGTGGTGGTCATTGCTTAGTCACGTATTAGGTAGTGAAATTACAGAATGGCCCCTGACACCCCAATCTAATCTAATCCAACAAGTGTGGTTGGTGGTTACAAAGATATGATATCCTTATGTTTAAGAAAATTAGGTGCGTTTGAAATAAGGATCCATTTCATAGTTCAAATTATAAGTCTAAATCTATGAACTAAATATTTTTGTGTTTACGAACAGTTTTGGCTTTTTTTTCTCTAAAATCACTGATGAAATCAAAAATAAAAATTTATTTTGGGAAGTTTGATTCTTTTTTTTATAAAAACCAAATTAGTTATAAACGGTTTCAGACAGTTTAGTTTTAGAACTAAAAAAGTTTTTAATATTAATTTAACAAAATTTATAATACTATTTGTTAGGATTTTAGTTGGCAATTTGTTGGCATTGAATGTAAAAATTCAACAACAGGTACATTTGGCAACTTGTGTTTATAGAAAATATTAGAGGCGATTTTGGTTGTTTGATTGCTTCGAATATGGAATGTACTCCATGATTATGTATTTAGAATGGTTGACAAATCTGAATTAATGAAGGAGGAAAGCTAATCACGCGGAGTATCAAGCTTGGTTTATTGCTCGGTGATAATATATATATTCCTTGTACGTGGAGTGGTTTTTGGCTTGATTGATGAATGATTTGGAAGGTGTTGTACATGAAGCAAATATGGAGCTGATTGGTTTGATTTTTGGTGGCTAATTGATGGGCTCTATGTATGGGAAGAATTCTTGGAGGAGAAGTTGTTTTATTTAGGGTGATTTTGGTGGAAGAATCGATTAGACTATAGACCAATTTAGTTGTATATAATTAGTATGCAGCCATGAATGTGAGGCAGAGCTTTTGAATGAAATATTCTTGAGCAAAAGGCTGCTTTGATGCTTGTTGAGTGAAAAAAAATAAATAAAAGGTGGTTCTTTGGGAGAAGATCGTATTGCTTTCAGGAGAAAGTTTTCAAAGACGAGTAGTGCTCGCTGGACAAGACCACTAAGAGGATTCTCCACAGCGGCGACAACATCAAGGAGGGAGTCTTTGAGTGTGTAAGACCGATTGGTGTTTATAATCTCTTTATCTTAGTAGATTGTTCACTGTCTGGGCGTGACCCCGCAAATGTAGGTGTGCGCACCAAACTGCGATATCAATTCCTTGTGACTTTTATGTTTTCGCATTACTTTTCTGCACTTATAATTTGCTGTTGCTGAATCAAAGAAAAATATATCCATTTACACGTATCGGTCATCAGTGTTACAACTAGTGTTATAACACTATTTGTGACACTGGCCGAAAAACGGACCTAACAAACAAATAAGGCTAACATTCATAGTTTAGAATCTGCTAGTTCAAAATTAGCATATGTTTAAAAGTTCACCATTCAACAACCAGACTAAAAAGTCACAAGAACACAAATCAAAATTTACATACCAAATTTTGTCCACGTTCATTAACAAACAAAGTTTTAATATATATTACAAACCAATCAAATTAAAAAGATACAAGTAAAACTAAATAACATAAAACAACACAATCAAATTTTAAACTTAGAATAAAACTTGCCTCTTCTGTTGATAGAACTCTCATCCTTCCTTACAAATACTACAAAATTGTTAAACTAAAATCTAAACTTGGTTGTTTTTTTTTCGCTTGAAACTAGTTATTATAATGTTTTCTAGTTACCACTTAAAAAATATATAATAAAATAAAAAATAACATGTATAGATTTGTGAGTTTTAGCTGTATGAAAAGGTTTCCAAAAAAAAAAAGTATTAGGCTGAAATTAAAAGGTCAAAGTATAAATTGGAAGGAAAAAGTGGAGTAAATTTGGTTATTTTATTTACAGAGGAAAAAAGATGTGTATGACAAAAAAAAAAATCGTTTTGATTCTTATAAAATAAAACTTCTATCACTTACAAAATAGTGGGTCTCACATACACACTTACGGGATCTATTTTATATGAGTAACGAGATTTTAATCTTATGAGAATAAATAAAAGTGCTCGTTAATGATATAACCGTAGACAGATGCTACAATGTGTGTGTACGCAACGACATAAGCGTGCAAGAGAATATTGTTGCTTGGCACGTAAGTCAAAGGTTATGAACTACTAGAAGGAAACAAAAGCCCCTACATCTATATACGTACGTGAAAGACTTTGCGTTTAAGTCTTATTCATCCTTTCTTTTGTTCAAATAAAAGAGTAAGGAATGAATAAAACTCAAAACAATAGTTTTAGACATGCGAAGAAATTAAGTACACAGAATCTCTTCCTTTATTCCTTGAAGCCATCCTTTTCCCCCATCATGTTTTTCTCTAATAATAATACCATCTCTTCTCTATGTCAGCCTATATATACACATTATACACATATATAGAAATAAATTGCTCGTCGAGAACGAGAACGAGAACGTTATATATACACATTATACACATATATACACAATATTCTCGGCCAAAAAATATATACACATTATACATACACATACACACATATATACACAATATTCTCGGCCCAAATAGTTATGTCTTCAGCTGGTCGTCCTCGCGTAGTCGTTAATGGAATTAGACGAACGAGAACGTTCCACCACTTCTGGTGCTCAAATTGCCAACGTACCGTTAGAACGACCTTTTCAAACGCATACGATACTTCGTGTCCCTATTGCTCCGACGAGCTTCATCTCGAGCTCGACGTTTCAAGTCCGCGGCTTCTAAGAACATCCGATCAGCCGACCACCGGCCGGTTATTCGAAAACTTGGCCCTCCTTTTAGACCCCACAATAAGCCTGCCATCCCGAGAGCCCGCCAATTTCGGTAGGAGCAGGGGCGGAGCACTAGAGCCACACCTTCTCGAGGGTAGGTGACCTCCCCATTTGAATTTTTTTTTTTCCGTTTATTTTGATATGTATATTTTGTTAAATTTATAGCATGCTCCCTTAGAATTCTGAAATTATATATTTATATGTACGCTTAATTATATATCTGTCTATTCTCACTTAATTTATTATATATCTGTATGTATACTTAATTATATATCCGTCTCTTCTCACTTAATTTATTATTTTAGGTAGGAGAGAAGAATGGCTATATGACACAGAAGAAGGTCCAGGTCCAAATCTTCAATCATGGATTACCCTCCAATTCGGAGAAAACAACCGAGGCGGCAACGAAGATGATCATGACATTGAGCGAAATGAGATCCTCAGAGTTGGGACGGCGCGGAACGGCATCCAACAACGTCGTCCTGGGCCACAACCGGCGTCGAGGACGGCCATCGAGGCTTTGCCGACGGTGAAAGTGACGGAAAGTCAGTTGAGGAATGAGCCGATCTGCGCGGTTTGCAAGGAGGAGTTCGAGGCCGGTGGGGAAGTGAGAGAGTTGCCGTGTAGACATTTCTATCACTCTGATTGCATTGTCCCTTGGCTGAGACTTCACAAAACTTGTCCCGTTTGTCGTCAAGAGATTGATGAATCAGGAGATTTTGCCAATGCTACTTTTGAGGACGATCATGGCCGGAGCTTTGAAGAATTTGTGAGCAATTCATTGCGCTGGCGGTGGAATCAGATTCTTTCTTTCTGGCCATTTCGTGCTTTTATCGATTATTGGACGCAAAGGAGCTTGGATTTTCCGCGTCTAAATATGCTTGGAGTTGGAGGTATATCAGTTCATTTACTTCTCACCTTTATTAATCTTTTTTTTTTTCTTGTTCTAGTTTCGTTGATTTCCATGTTTCTTTTCCTCGGATGTCAACGTAGCATTAGTACTTTGCCTTATGCTTTGCATTTTTTTTTATTTTTTTTTAAGCATGATTAGTTCTTAGTTCGTATCTTAAAATACATATATATATATATATGTATATAATTGGCGCAAATTAACATTTTTGTTACCCAGATCGTCACTAACACTGCATAAAGTTTAGCCTCAAATAGCATGAGTACTTCTAGTGATTATAATTAAAGGCTTTTTTAGCTGCAAGAAAATAAATGCGTAAATTTTGTTCTCACCAATTTCATAAAATTGCTGTATATCATTCTGTCGATTAATATTTTGTATGCGATTTTGCTAGAATCTAGCCATAAGTTGTCATGTGATCACATTTTTATATGAACACTACTTTTCTTTTCTTTTTTATTATGACTACATGATCGTGGAGAGAAATTAATTAACATTCTTATAATTGTCATTACTTACTACATCAATTATTGTTAATCTCCTTATATATATATATATATATATATATATATATACACATACATACATACATATATATGTTATTTATACATGTTCTTTAACTAGTTATCTTTCTGCAGCCAGATCTTGGTGGCCTTCTCGGCTCATTCTCTAGCTTTGAGGTTGTATTACTCATCATCACTTGTTTTTATTTGTAATACTGACATGGCGAAAATTTGTATAATAATTTATCAAAAAGGTTAAAGTCATGTGTAATTTACTGTCTAATGAAGTATTGCAGCAGCCACAAAAAGAATTTCCGAATATTTGAGAACTTACCAGGTAACAATTAAGGTACTCTTTATATACTTTTTGATCTCTAAATAATTGAGAATATATAAGATTATGACCCGTTTAAAAGATATACTTCAACTATAATTCTTGATAATTTTTTATAAAAAAAAAAAAACACTGTAGTAAAATAATTTGAGTTTAAATATATGAAACAAACGAATTTTTAATCTTAATTTCTTCAGTCTCAATAGTTATATATTCTATATATGTTAACTAAAATATGACAGAACTTCTTTTCTTGCTCATTTCGTTACTGTTTGCTTGTACATGGATGCAGGGAACATGTGTATACGTTTTTTTTTTTTTTTTTTTTTCCCTCTTTCTCTCTCTGAAATCTACATATGATTGTAGACATTGTGTATGTACATATAAAACCTGATTATTCGCGTCTTGTTTTTTCTAGTTTATAGTAGATTGCACTTTCCTCCTTTTTTTTTTTTTAATTCTAACGTGTAGGACAATGTTATGGAAGGATATATATGTTGCATTGTTCTAATGATTGATTCTCTGCTAGATAAGTAAACAGTAATAATAACGAATTGAGACTGTGAGTTTGATTCGTGTTGTATTAAAAAAAAATTATGGGAAATAGTATTAAGGACTTAGGTATTAAGGTCTCGTTTATTTTATCGATTCGAGTTTAGAATTTGAGTTTTGCTACAGTAAAAAGCTCTAAAAAACAGTCACATATTTATTTTTTTTTTTTTTTTTTTTTGCTACAGTAAAAAATCCTCACGTAAAGTCACATCTAAACTCGAATTAAAAACTCAAATCAACAAACTAATCAGACCCTAAACGTTTACAAGCACCAACAATCTCAACGCCTCTAGTGATCTTCAAAAGGTAAAAATAACAATATCTGCATCAACGCTTTGAAATGGAAGGTCTTCAAAATTTTTTTTTTTTTTTTTTACAACTCCGATTTTGCATTAATTCTACCTCGAATTGCAATAAACAGAAGGGGATATCGGATATCAAACAATAAAGCTTGTTAACATCAATGTTTATTGAAATCAATAAATGACATGTGGCTCATTCTTAATATATATATATATATGTTGTCACAAGTTATAGAAGTTAATGTTAAATCATTAAAAAGAAAACTAGAGCAATTAGAATAAAAATATTATTATACCTTTCAAATAAATTCTTAATTCCCATTGAAGATTCCAATTAGATATAGAATGCTAAGGCCAGAGGCTAAAAGCACATGCAGGACATATCAGAACCAAACACGATCATTACTTTAACTGTGTGACATTCTCACAAATATTGAATTATAAGGTCCAAGAAACCCACGTTCATAATCAATTGTAATAAAATGTGAGAAAACATTTTAGTCTCCGTTCATTTTACTAATTTGAGTTTTGTTACAGTAAAAAAGCTCACAAAAACAGTCACATTTAACTTTTTTGCTACAGTAAAAAGCTCTCACATAAAATCACATCTCAACTCAAATTAAAAACTCAAATCAGTGAACTAAACGGACCCTTAGTACTTCAAGGTAATATAACTCATATACGTTCATCTGCGCACATCAATGGGGATATAGAAAAAGATGCATGCAAGAACAATCACTAGATGTGTAGATTAAGCATTAAACACTAAGCATGCATGCACCAATGGGGGACTTGAAACAATAATAAAAAATAATAATAATCTTTATAGACTCGTGTTGAAAACGTATTATAAAACACTAATAAAAATCTAACGTACTGCAATAAACTTAAAAGAACAAAAGAGAAAAACACAGAAAATATGAAAGACAATATGAGATTGTATTTTTTTTATTCTCTTATAATGAGTGTGTCATGCATTTTTTATTTATAGACCAAGTATCATAAATAGAGGTAATAGGAAAAGATATATGTTACATAGCTTATCCTTATGCTTATATATCCTTTATTTATACTCAATATTAAGAGAGAAATTATGAAGAGATAATACATAACATTAAAGATGAAATAATAGAAGGATAATGAGGTCTTATTTGAGAGGTAATAAAAGGGTATGGATTATTAAGGTATCGTTCATTTCACTGATTTAAGTTTAGAATTCGAGTTTTGTTACAGTAAAAAGCTCTCAGAAACAATCACTTCTAACTTTTTTGCTACAATAAAAAACTCTTACATAAAGTCACATCTCAATTCGAATCAGCGAACTAATGAACCTTAAGTGGTAGCATCCGCACATAATTGTTTTATAACCCATAATGTTTTTTAGGAAGAAAGAATGAAATATGTCAAGACTTGAGATGAATTAAAATTAATAGGCCAATAGTTTACGTAAGTTAATAAATAGGTCAAATTACTATTTTCGTCCATAACTTATCTAGTTATGAACCATAACTTGACAAGTTATTGTCCATAACTTGTCTGGCTATGAACTATAACTTATCTAATTATAAACCATAACTTGACAAATTATGACCTATAAATTTCTATAACTAAAAATTAACCTATATACTTTCTTAAGCTTTTCATATTGGCATATTTTCTACTATTTTTCTATTTTTTAAGAGATTTATGAAGGTACATTAATGGGCCACCAAACTTCAGAATAATGTTACCCCGCATCTAAAAAAAAATAAAATAAAAAATAAAAAGGCGTTACAAGGGGCAAAAATCTTTTGAAAATAATAATAAAAAAATAAAAAAGAAACAAGCCAAATAAGCAAGATTCATATTTCCCATATGCCCAATGGCAAATCGGCAGCACTAGCTAAGTTCTTCGAAGCCTTTGAGGAAGGCAAATGGCATTCACAAGTATGATAATACGATCAGGATCATCATGGCTGCTTCCTCACCCATTTGGCTTTGGCCTACCAGAGCCAAAAGTGGGTCCCACTCCCATGAATGTGGTCACGACCGCTGCTTCTCTGCGCCTCGGTCACCTCCTCCGTCGTGGCTTCAATTCCTACTTTCAGGTAATTCGCTTTTCTTTGCTTATCTATTGATAATTTTCAAAATTGCGTCAAAATTGTTTGAGAATTTTCAGTTTGATGGTAATGGGTGAGTTCTTTTTTTCTTTTCTTTTCTTTTTTCTGCCGTTGATATATCTTCTTGCAATACAAGAACAGAAACTGGGTAGTCTCGATCGTGGTCCCAGATTGAGGGATTCTTTGCAATCTGCAAGTTGGGCTTGTTTTTGCTTGTTTGGGGAGGGAGAAAATGGAGAGGATCTGGTGGGAAACCAAGGGATGGCTAATAAGTCCAAGATGTCTAATCCAAGTCCCTTCAATGAGAGGCGATGGACCAATGTACTTCTTGCACTTAATGTTGTGTGAGTGTTGATTTTATTTTATGTATCAGTTGAATCTCTATTAGAATTACCTCTTTAATGACCCAATCCCACATTGGATATGCGCTTGGGAGATCATATAAGAATTTCAAATGCGGATTTGGAACCCCTAAAGTATCTTCTGCTAATATTTTTGGCCAAAACTTGTGGTTTTACTTGCCACAAGCTAAAAGCAGTTTTTGGGTTGGCCCCATGATCTCTCAAGCGTGTAACGCAAATTTAAGAAGGGAAAATCCAAAACCTATTCACCGAGTTTCATCAAAATATGACTATTGCAAAAGTATTCCCCGTGCTAAATTCTGGTCAATCTTAGTAGTTATTTTCTCTAAAATAGCAAAGTTTCCAGAAACAAGCGACAATTGGGGGGTTGTTAATTAATTTGAGCATCTTGATCTTTGTACATTGTCATTTGATCAGAATTAACACATGGAATACTGTTTAGATGCTCAAAAAACATGGGGACTCTTTTTTCAATTAGTTTAAACCTAAGGTTATTTGTCATATTTTCATAGCACTCAAGGAATACTTTTTAGATTTTTCCATTTAAGAATTGGGCCATTAAAACGTCTCTCTGTTTATTATCAACACACTTAAGGAAACGGCTTTGTTGTTTTGTTAAGTTCAATAAACTGTGTGGGCAGAATTTATATAGCACAGGTTGCAACACAAGGGAGGCTAATGTTCTGGGGAGCTAAGGTAAGAGCTCTGCTATTCAAAATGAGAGAAGAATACCGACATGTGCGCATTTCATTTTCAGTACTAGAAATTTAATTTAACTTCAGGTTGCTGTACAATTTGCAGATAAATGATTTGGTGGAGGAAGGACAACTTTGGAGGCTGGTGACCTCTGCCTTTTTGCATGCAAACATTGGACACCTTTTGGTCTGCCCTCTGTCTTACTGGTTAAAGTTTTCCAAGTTCATAGGCCGCAAGCCATGACTTCTTTGCTGTGTGTCAATCAGGTCAACTGCTATTCTTTAAACGCTGTTGGGCCTTCTGTCGAGAAAATCAGCGGCCCTGGGAGATATCTTGCCGTGTATTTTGCCTCTGCAATTGCAAGTAACCGATCATGATCTTTCTGCAGTAGTAAAAAATGTTATTGGTTACAACTACCAACTGGTATTCTGATTTGGTAATTTCAAGAAAATCAGGTTCAACAATGAGTTATTTGTTCAGCAAGGATGCGGCAGTTGGTGCGTCAGGAGCAATCTTTGGACTAGTAAGCTGGTTCAACTTTTTGTTAAGGGGCCACACCTTTAGTCTCGATTTTATAGGTCACAGTATCAAAACAGCTAAAGGAACTTCAAATGGATTAGAATGTTAAGAGCATTAAATCCACTAAATGAGAAGCCACGTTATAAATTTAAAAATGCAAAGCTGCTATGATATGATTCTGTCCTGTCATTCAAATCTCATTTGATCATGTAAACATATTGTCTCTTTTGAATTGTCAGGTTGGATCCATGGCTGTGTTTGTAATGAGACATAGAGGCCAGGCTGGAGGTGGAAAAAGAGAGCTACAGCACATAGTGAACGTGATTGCGCTGAATATGGTATGTACCAGCTGCATAATCTCACCTATTCACTTAATGGTTATATGCTTTCCTTTTGTTTTCTGTTTGTTACTTTTTCTCTACAAAGATCAATGTTTATGCATACACTTTGCAGGTTATGGGACTGTTATCTGAAGGCATTGATAACTGGGGACATGTAAGTTTTTAAACAACAGAAGTTTCTTTCTCTTTCAGATAAAAAACAAAACATTTCAGTTTTTCTACTTTTCTATGCACACGATCTTTGGTAACCTTTTAACCATTCTTGTGGAACTAAACTGTCACTTCATTTTTTTCATTCTAGAATGTTCTCTCCTTATTCTTTGCTTCCGCAGTTTCTCAAGCACAGGACAAAAAACAAACCACTACTAAGTTGGACTCTAAACATTCTTTAGAAGAGTGGCTTTGTATAGAACTTTTAGGGGCATTTTGAACTGGAGTTAGAATCATTAGGCAAACCATCTGTTAAATTAAAGAAGTTTGATTTAGGGAGCCTACTGGGATCTTTCATATATAATCATACATAATCTCAAATTAGTTCTAGTTTTGATGGTATAATATTGAAAGGTATAGGGAGAACTACGTTGACACATCCAGTGTTTTGCCTAACCCTCTTGGTCCCCCCCACACCACAAACTATGTTAGCTTTCGATGGAAACTGATCAAAATATCCAAACAATATTAACCGTCGATCTACTTGTTGCACTTGCACTAATATTATCCCTTGATAATTTCTTTCCTTTTCTTTAAACATTAGAGTGCAAGTTATAGTTGTGAGTTTATAAAGACCACTTGTTCATTTTTGTTGACTAAATAAAGGTTAAAAAGTCATTTTTAGGCCTTAACTGGGACCCCTTATATATATATATATATATATAGGGAGGGGTGTTTTGCCATTTAGGAACTATTTAATGGTCAAACTACATTGTTCCGTTAGGTTTGATTAACAGAGATATGTCTATAATTTCTAAAAACTCAAAAGAGTTTGATGTAAAACATTTTGATAAGGGGTGTCTTTGTAATTTAGGCAATATACAGGACGTCCGGTGTAAAAAGACCAACCGCGTATTAAGTTATCAATGCTTGCATATACATCCCTTGAATCATAGTTCTTCCCCATACATTTAGTTAATTACATATATCAGGGATATCCAAATGCAATTTTGTGTGGTTTGATTCAGTTGGGAGGCCTGCTTGGTGGAGCTGCGGCATCATGGCTTCTCGGGCCTGCGTGGGGCTATGAATCTCCATCCCCCGATGGTCGGAGAATCTTTTCTGACAGAGCTCCAATTTTCTACCTGATCAATTGGAACAAGAGATCCTAACGCCTAAGTATTTCCTTGTATTGCTGTTTGATGGCAATGCTCCGATTATCTTCCGAAATTAGTGGAAAAGCGACGGAACAACCATGTCCACAAGAAAGATGGTTCACATTTCTTTAGGTGTAAATAAATGTATATTAAGACTTTATTCAGCAGATACTGATTTTACACTAGTTAAACTAGTCCTTTTTCATCCAAATGAATAGATTACTGTGAACTTGTTACCCTTTATGAATGAAAGAAATGGATGGTAGTTATACTGGAAGTCTTGGCATAAACTGATTGCTAAAAAGGTATTTATTCCAGCTTCAGTTTTCCCTCATTGTTTCAATGTTGGTAAATTGTTTAAAAGGTTTAATCCTGTTCTTTCTTTTTTTTTTTTTCCTTCTTTTTTCTCTTCATCTCAAACTTCGGTGATGTTCCTATTGGAGAAAGCGATCATAAAATCTCTCTCATATGGTAGCTTTAATCTTCATATTTAAATAAAGATATATGTCCCCATAAATCTCAATTTTATAGCAGTATAAGTTCCGTCTACTCTATCTCTATCTTGTTATGGCTTTATATTGTGGTCCATTGAGCAGCCAAATGAAAAAAAAAAAAAAAAAAAAAAAAAAAAAAAAAAAAAAAAAAAGAAACATTATATGCCTTGTTTTCTCTTTTGCTTTATTCACAAACACTTCATATCATAATATATAGCGTAACAATTGGGGATCAAAATCATCGAGAAAAGAAAACCGCCAACATCAGGGTCTAGATCCAATGGAAAATTTTGTTTAATTATCTTTTCTTTTATTATTATCATTTTTTTAAATACCTTCCGAGCTAGCCAAAAATTTGTTTCCATTCTCCATTTTTCCTCACCAACAGAAGAAAGCTAACACTCAGTGTGGCATTGATCCAATGAATTTTAGAAGCTCAAAAAGAAATAACGGACAGGTATGAACAATGAACTATTAACAATTCGACATTTTATATTCATATGATCCTGTATGTTAATCTTCATGTAACACTAAACCTATTCCGTTTAGCAAAACCTCCTTTTTTTTTCTTTTTTTTTTTTTCTTTTTTGGAGACTTTGCCAGCATTGCAGAGCTCAAAAAGAACCTGCAAATTTTTACACTTGAGTTAATACAGAAAAGAGGTTCTTTTTGAATTCTGCAATCTGATAATTGCAAAACCTGCATAGTTTCCGGGTCTTCAACCGGGAAGAAAGTGTCCGTTGTTTTCTTGTGACATCAGAAAATGTAGAAGCAAGATGAGAGGCCTGCCACCTTCTGGCTTTGACCCATAATTTATCTCCTGATATCACCTTCACGTGATTCTTCTCAGCTGAAGGGTGATAAACCTGTCAAACTTTTCAAGGGGACCAATCTAACTTCATCCACCAAAACAAAACTGGAGATGAGAACAACTTGTATTTTGTTTCTATGTCTTTGGAACTCTGCTTGAGGTTTGTATAGCGAAGCCGGCGTATAATGCGAAATCAACAAAGGAGATAAAAGATTATTAGTGCTGACAGTCCTAACGCCCAGATTTCCTCGTACAAAGAGACTACTGCTGAAGCTGCAACAAGAACACAAAATACTTGTTAGATTATGAATAGAATCCTTTTTAGTCGTTGGAAAAGAGAAACAAAAAAACTTACATGATGGGGATGGAGCAAACGACGGAGACTCCAAGGCTTTTGTGTTTCCCTTATTTGAAGCATGAGACGGTTGAGGTACAGGTGAAACATCTGGAGATAGATGAGATTTGGGACCCATAGGCCGTGAGTGGGGAGGAGCAGCAGGAGTAATAGCTGGAGGAGCAATCGGGTTCGAAGGGGAAGTTGGCGAGGAGCTTGGAGAAATGTCAGAATCATGGTTCGAACAAGGCTGGGGAGACTGCGGAACTACAAAAGACGGTGCTGGAGTAGAAGCATCACAGTCAGAACACGGTGATGGATCAAGAATGTAAGGTGAGGGTGCTGGAGAAGAAGTTGGAGCAGGGTCCAGTGGAAACGATGATCCAGCATAATCACTTGGTCCTGGTGCTGGAGCTGGAGAAGGACTTGGAGGTATTGAAGAAAGAGTACCTTTTAGATAAGAAGACAAACTAATACTTTTAACACTACCAAAGACTGAGTTATTGAGGCCGAGATTTCTTGCAGGAGAGCTTGTAAGTGTTACAGCCAACTGCTTTAATCTCGGAGGCTGGAGGTTCCCAAAATCAGGCAAGACGACTGATGCCTGAATAACAACAGTAGCAGCTGTTGTTGAACCAATTGTGTTTGTTATTTGCACATACACATTCTGCACAGAAAAAAGCATTGGTCAGTCTATCCTCGGGAGGTCGTGTACCCATACCAAAACATACTAATCAAAGCTGATAATTCGGGTTTGACTAATTTTTTGTACTCGATGACTTTGAAAAGGATGAGCTTCATTAGGACCCTTGTGCACTATACAAAATGGACCACCAATTTTTTGTTTTAACCTTTCCTTATTTTTATCAAGTTTGGTTCATACTGTGATATACCCAGAAAAACTTATCTTGTCATTTCCGTAGCCTCCATGTAGAAGAAGCTAAAATTTTATTTCTTTGTATGTTTATAACTTTTTCATAGGAATCCAATACCTAGTAAAACATTCAGGTGGTACTTTTAAATCCTGAAAGTGATGGCAGCCTGTAGTTGCAGACATAGCCTAGTTGGAATTCTACACTCGACCCCACCATATGGTGTAGAGTTCAAATCCCTCACCCCCAAGTTCAAAGGGGAAAAATGCGATGGAAGCCTGAAATCAGTAGCAAAAACGAGTATAGAAAGTTGAGAAGGTGGCATACCTCATAAGGTCTTAGGTGCAGGCCAAACTTCAACTGATCTTTTAACTCAACAATATTATCTAATATTTCTGAAATGGAGTTGTTGAGAGTAAAATTAAATAGAATCTGAGGCATCTGCCAGATTGAAGCAGGTTGCACGGGAATTACAGTGATTCCTCCTTGAAACTTGAGAATCTCAAACCTAGATGGATGCCCAAAAGTTGATGTTGTTAGGGTAAGGTTGGTTGTTTGAAGAAACACCTCAATCAAAGATGATCGAAGCACACTTAAGGACACCGGACTTATTCGAGCATTTATTGGATCTGGAAGAGCACCAAACGCCACAGCAGTCGAGTTAGGAGCACCTGATTGGTGCATTGATAGAACAGCAACCTGTTTATGGGGGGAAAAAGAAAGAAAGAAAGAAAGAAAGAAGAGCAGATTTTCAGGTTGTTTCTTCGGTTCTTAAAGAAGTCAATACAACAATACATAATGGCCAAAAAGTTCGAAGCAAAACCTTTGTATCAGGGACGCCTATTTCTGCAGTAATGTCATATTCTAATCTACCAATGAGAGGAACAAGCTGCGAAACAGGCTTTTCCAAAACGAAGTATGCTTGTACAGGGGCTGGAAAGAAAGAAAAAGACACATGAGTATACGTGGCAGGAAAGCTATAGGAACGGTACTTTTAGGATAAATCCCTAACTATTGATGAACATTCCAAACCTCGGATGTATCAAAACCTACTGTTTGTAACACAGTTGATATATATACTGTTAGGGACCTGATTCCCAACACTCAGCCAACACAGATTCACACACAAACACCAGAAAAACAGGTAATATCCAAGAGAAATCAGGGGATTCTTTATTACTCAATCAGACAAAAACACCAATTACACTAGAAAATTGAAAGATAACAGATAGTTCGGAGATTTCGAGCTCTCCAGCACTCCCAGCCGTTTCTGGCGCACAACCACACTCAGAATTAACAAAAATACCAGCTGCCAAGCCTACTGCCCTTCCTACACCCCAAATACCCCTGATCAGCCCTAAGCCACGTCAGACATTCCTAGCCACTTTCAATAATTGCCCCCAGCCCCCTAACACTCCCCCCTAACACTCTGTGCACTTCCTCTTTTACCCCTCCTAGTATAGACTTGCTTCAGTAGGGGTCTAACGGTGGTGGAGAGCATCCAGGGGCTCCCAAGTAGGCTCCCACTCGGGCAGTCCTTCCCATTGGACGAGATGGTCCAAGTCATGCGGCCCTCCCTCGCGTGCTCGACGTGCGCACAATATGGCAGCGGGCCATCGAGCTCCTCCGAGAGGTGTGCGGCAAGGGGTGAGCAAGTGGAGAATCTCCCCAGAAGGCTTTAAGTTGGGAGACATGGAACACCGGGTGTATGCGAGCATTTGCTGGGAGCAAGAGACGATAGGCAACTCGTCTAATCTTCTCGGCGACCACGACGGGTCCATAGTAGCGTGGTGCCAGCTTTTCGTTGCGCTTCTTGGCCAAGGACCGGAGCCTGTAGGGCCGAAGTTTGAGCAGAACAAGGTCGCCCGGCGCAAACTTTTTCATACGTTGTTGCGCCTTCTCCAATTGCTCCTTGAGCTCATCCAACATAAGAATTACGAAGCTGCATCTGCTTGTCTACATCCATGTCCAAGGAAGGGGTATCTTGGAACCGGTATAACACCAGTGGGTCCCGGCCATAAACGATGCGGAAAGGGCTACTTTTAGTGGAAGCGTTGTATGTGGTATTGAACCAATACTCCACCCACGGCAGGAATTTCAACCAAAGTTTCGGTTTCGCACACGCGAAGCACCGCAAATATGTCTCCAAGCAACGATTCACCACCTCGGTTTGGCCATCTAATTCAAGGTGGTACGCAGAGCTAGTATGTAGCTTGGTCCCCTGGAGCTTGAACAGCTCCCGCCAAAAGGTGCTCATGAATATGGGATCCCGGTCACTAACGATTGAGCGGGGAACTCCATGAAACCGCACAATCTCCCGTGCAAACAAGTCAGCCACTAACTTCGTCGAGAACGAGTGTGTGAGCGAGCAGAAATGGGCATACTTGGACAACCTATCGACCACCACCAGCATGGTATCCCGGCCCTCTAACTTAGGCAGCCCTCCGATGAAATCCATCAAAATGTCCTCCCAAATGTGGTTTAGGACCGGAAGAGGTTGCAAGAGACCCGCTAGAGACATTGCTTCACTCTTGGCACTTTGCCAGGTCAAACAGCGAGCCACATAATCATTTGGTCCAAAAAAGGTTACTAGCCACCCGCTTGTAAGTGCGGAAGTACCCCGAATGGCCACCTACCACCGAATCATGGAACTCATGCAATAAGCGAGGAATCCATGAGGAAGCTCTTGGCAACACCACCATGCCCTTGTAGACCAATAGCCCCTCTTTCAAGTCAAATCCCTCGCACACCGTTTCTCCTTCTTGCAACTTGGCAATCAACCTCGCGCACCATTCATCCGCCCGCTGCCCCCTCTTAACATCCGCCAAATCCACCAATTGGGGAATGGAAATGGCCGATAGTTCCACGGTTTGCTCTTGGCCCCGCCTTGACAAGGCGTCCACCACCCTATTCGCAACCCTCGATTTAAATTGGACCTCAAAGTCATAACCCAGAAGCTTTGTAATCCAGCGTAATTGTTTCGGTGGAAGCATCCGTTGGTCCATAAGGAACCGGAGACTCTGTTGATCGGAGCGAACCACAAAGTGGCCAAACAAATAATGACGCCACTTTTGAATGGCAAACACCACTGGCATCAATTCCAGCTCATAGACCGATTTCACCCGACTCGCCTCACCGAGCGCCTTTACTAAAAAAGGTGATTGGGCGGCCGTCTTGCATAAGAACAGCCCCAAGACCAACCCCCGAAGCATATGTTTCCACGAAAAACGGCTTGGAGAAATCAGGCATAGCCAACACCGGAAGTGTAGTCATGGCCCCCTTAAGGACCCCTGAAGGTGTGTGCCGCCAAATCATCCCATTCAAACCCTCCTTTCTTGAGCAAATAAGTAAAGGGGCGTGCTAACTCTCCATATCCCCTCACGAAACGTCGGTAGTAACCGGTGAGCCCCAAGAACCCGCGCACATATCGCACATTCCGTGGTGTAGGCCAAGTGGTGATGGCTAAAACTTTAGAGGGGTCCGCTGCCACCCCCTCTCCTGAAATAATATGGCCGAGGTACTCTACACTTAACCGCCCAAAAATGCACTTCTTCCTGTTCGCATAGAGCTTTTCTCCCTCCAAGATCTCCAACACCTTAGTCAAATGCTCCCGATGTTCCTCCCAAGTTTTGCTATATACCAATATATCATCAAAAAACACTAAGACAAAGCGGCGAAGATAAGGCCGAAATACCGAGTTCATAAGTGCTTGGAATGTGCCGGGGCGTTGGTGAGGCCGAACGACATCACTAGGAACTCATAATGGCCCTCGTGAGTCCGCAAGTTGTCTTCTCAACATCACTCTCAAGGACCCGAATTTGATGGTAACCCGCCCTCAAGTCCAACTTCGAGAACACTCGTGTCCCGTGGAGCTCATCCAGAAGCTCGTCGATCACCGGAATGGGAAACTTATCCGGAACCGTCACTTGGTTCAAGGCCCGATAATCCACACAAAAACGCCAACAACCATCCTTCTTTTTCACCAAGAGAACCGGACTCGAATAAGGGCTACAACTAGGCGTAATGATCCCTGAAGCCAACATGTCGGCCACCAAACGCTCAATTTCCCCCTTTTGGAAATGTGGATAGTGATATGGTCGGGCGTTAGGTGGGTCCGCCCCATCCTTCAACACAATTCGGTGGTCCCGGCCTCTCTTAGGGGGCAGCCCCTTAACCTCCTCAAAAACCTTCCCAAACACCGCAAATACCTCTCGTAGATCCATGGGAATTGCTTCGGTAGACCCATCCTCGCTACTCCCCACTATTTCACAAACCTCTAGTAATACTCCCACTTGTTGAGGTCCTAACGACCGAGTCATCGAACGCAAACTCACCGGAGTATAGCATAAAGAGGGGTCTCCTGTCCAACTTACCCACTCGTTCCCCTCCTTAAACTTCATAGTAAATCGGGACCAATCTACGCAACCAAGCCACTCCCAAAACCATATCCGCACTTCCCAACTCAAATGGGAAAAAATCCTCCACCACCTTAAAACCTTGAATTAACAACTCTACTCCACGGCAAACCCCTTGTTTGCTTATTGCACATCTCGTTTCCAACTTGTACTCCACATCTAACCGATGGATCACAAGGCAGCCCCAATTCTTTGACCAACGAACATGACACGAAACTGTGAGAGGCTCCACTGTCCACTAGCACTACCACCTCCCGCAGGGCTAGCCACCCTTTGACCTTCATAGTCTTCGCCGAGTTCATCCACTAGCACTACCACCTCCCGCAGGGCTAGCCACCCTTTGACCTTCATAGTCTTCGCCAAGTTCACTCCCATTAAGGAGTTGAGAGAGAGATCTGCCTTCTCTTCCGCGGGATCCTCATCGGGGCCGTCCTCTTCTTTACACTCCCCTTCTATTTCCAAATCGTCCTCAGTTGCCAACAAAATTTGGAGTTGCTTATTCTTGCAACAATGACCGGGGCTAAACTTCTCGTCACACTTAAAACAAAGCCCACGCGCGCGACGTTGTTCCATCTCCTCCTCCGACATATGGCGGTAACCTCCCATGCCACCCGCCGATGGACTAGTAACCCCTGTCGGCGACGCTCATCCCCTTCCCATGTCTCCACCGTCTCGGCCTATGTTGGATCGAAGGGAGCTCCCCAAAATCGAAGGCCGGCTAGAAGTACTATCATTGAACGAATAGGATCTTCCCAACCCTCCAAGCAGGCCACTCTTCTACCTTTCCCATTCTCTCCACCGCCTCATTCCAATCCTCAATTTGTTGAGCAATCTCCATCACCTCTTGGAGAGTAGCCGGTTTATGCATCTTCACCTCCGCTCGGACATCCTCTCGAAGTCCACTAAGAAAGACCCCCTTATAGAATGCACTTGTCATTCCCCTCACCGGAGCCGCAGGCAATTCAAAGCGGTCCAAATAGTCCGCTACCGATCCCCCTTGTTTCAATGCCATCAATCTCTCCATTAGATCGCCTTCCTTGGCCCTACTAAACCGCTTTAAGATTGCCACATTCAACTCCCTCCATCCCACAAACGGATGTTGAGAATCCGTCCACCGGAACCAATTCAAGGCCCGCCCTTCCATGCACATGGAGGCAGCCGACACCTTGTCCCGTTCCGAGACCTCACACATGTCAAAACATTGCTCCGCCCAAAACAACCACCCATAAGGGTCCTCTTCGGCAAAACTTGGCATTTCCATCCTTCTTCCACGGATTTCTCCCCTTCCCCGGTGTACCTCCAAAGTCTCTTGGCGATGGACTCTCTGGTCCTCCCACCTTCTTCCTCCACAGTGCAGCCCCTGGTCTCCACCTCGTCGAGCCCCAAACACATCCAACCTGATTCCCAACACTCAGCCAACACAGATTCACACACAAACACCAGAAAAACAGATAATATCCAAGAGAAATCAAGGGATTCTTTATTACTCAATCACACAAAAACACCAATTACACTAGGAAATGGAAAGATAACAGATAGTTCGGAGATTTCGAGCTCTCCAGCACTCCCAGCCGTTTCCAGCGAACAACCACACTCAGAATTAACAAAAATACCAGCTGCCAAGCCTACTGCCCTTCCTACACCCCAAATACCCCCTGATCAGCCCTAAGCCACGCCCCCCAGCCCCCTAACACTCTATGCTCTTCCTCTTTTACCCCTCCTAGTATAGACTTGCTTCAGTAGGGGTCTAACATATACACAATCCCCAACTACCAATAAACAACTTTGGAGCTCAGGCATAAACTAGATACAGAATCAAAACCCGAAGCAGGAATATGGATGGATTACATTATCTGACTTCCGCTCTCGTGGCAAAACCACACTCAGCTAGACTGCTTACCAATTAATAAAAATGAAAATACATAGAAAAACAGTAACATAATAAGGGTGGAAGGCAAGAAGCACCCAAAGAACTTTGTATATACCACCCAAAGTTAAGAGTGATAAACAGATGCTCTGCACATCTCATATTCTATGTAATAGTTCAAGTGCGCCTGATTGAGCATATCATGTACCCAAGCTGAACCTTTTCGTGTCCACAAAGAAGTAGTCTATGCCCTGGTGATATAATCCAAGCTCAAGAGAGGGGAAAAAAACAGACACACACCCACACACACACACCCACCAACCCACACACACACACAGAGAATGGAAAAGAAAACACGGAGAGATGAAGACCAAATTCATTAGGTGAATACGTTACATGCATTCTATTTGACATGAAATACACACACAAAAACAGGTTTGCAAAGTAAGTTGGGATAATAAATTTGATGCATCCGACAACCAATCTGCTTCTAAATCATGGTATTTGTTTGTCTCATTATGCTACATGAGATTTGAAGTTGAAATTTTATTTCCTGAATTGTAGATAATGGGGACAAACTCAAATGAATCAGAAAATCGAAATAGAATAAATTTATTAGTTTCAAAGTGATCCTAGCACATTTACTGTATTTATTCCCTAAAGGGCACATTCTGATGTCTTATCCAAAACAAAAAAATCTGATGGATTGAATACATGTTCAAATGAAAAAGGGAAATAATTGATTCCATTCAATTTGTATGGGGTATCTAGATGTTTTCACTTTTCACTAAATATCACATAAACTAAAGGAAACTAATGTAGCAAAAGCCTCTCCTAGGTGAAATATTCGACATCAAATGAAACAATTTAGTAGAGCACAATGTGTCTCTTAGGAAGCAGACTAATATTAGGAATTTAACTTATAAGGGTTTATTTGATTGATGAACATTTGTAGAAAATCCAGGTTCAAGATACATCTCAAAACAAATTTCCTTCGTTGGATAGAAATTACAAAGAGTTATCAAATTAGCAATAAAATAAAAAAGACGTCGTTTTCCTCTCATGCAAGAAAACATAAAGCTATTTTCTACAGAGAATGCAGTATCAAAACAAAGAAATGAACCCGTTGATTATATGCAATTTCACATGCCGTTCTTGGTATGACTAAAGAATAGATTCAGTAATCATAAGTGATAAACAGAAGTCGTAAAACAAAACCCAGTTAGCAAAACCAAGAGCAAATCAAATACTGCAATAGATAGATTTTCATTAATTCGACTTTGACAAGAGTGATGAGAACATTTCCCTGCTCAATATTTGAACAGAACCACAAAATTAGAACAACATTCCAAAACTAAAAAAGCCCCAAACCTAATTATCAGAAGACCTAAATTTCGATAACCTGGTTAAACATCACTTTCTCAAGAAAATCCCTAATTACAAGGGTGAATGACAGAAAATGAAAATAAAAAACCCCCAATTAGCTCAAAACTTGAAAATTCCTCTATAAACCCCAAAAATGCAAAAGAACCACATATCCAATAGTTCAAAATAACAGAAAATACCTAACTATACAAAGACCTAACAAAGGAACAATTTTTGAAAAATTAAATAATCATAACTAAGGGCAAGAGAGAAATACCACTTAGTTTAATTGCTTGTTGGGCATCGAACCCGGACTTCATTTGGCGATGAGGAAGGATCCAGAAGATTCCAGAGACGAACATGGACAAACTCAACAGCAAAACGATGATGCATCGGAGGCTAAAGTCTTGGGCAATTCTGGTGAGAACCATCGAACATCCCTCGCAGATAAGTCCCGAAGAATCTCGATTCCAAGCTTCCTCATGGCTCTGCTGTTGATGCAGACTTTGCTCTTCGATTTTCCCCATTTGCAGAGCATCTGGAATCCCTCTTTCTCTTTCTCTCTCTAGTACTCTCTCTCTCTAAGACTACCAACGTAGAGAGATTAACACGAAGGGCTCACTCAGAGAGACGAGGACGAGAGACAAGTGTTCATGGTGGACAACAACCCCTTTTCCACTCTTTCACTCTCTCTCTCTCTCTCTCTCTCTCTCTCGACCTCTCTCTCTCTAAAAACCCTCTTTAAGCCACGCACTATGAGTTTATTTTTCTATTCCTTTACCCTTTTCTCGAATTAATTAATTCATTCATTTGTTTATTATTTTGTAGGCTACCGAACGTTGAGGAGAAGCAAGGGTTAAAAAAGAACAAAGAAAAAGGCAAAACGGAGAAGATAAAATTGAATTTCAAATATGCCCTACGGACCACTCTTTCGTTTTGCTTTTTGGCATCTTTCTAGTTTATTTGTTAATTAATATTATTATTATTAGATTATTAAAGGAGAATCTTTGGTAGTGTACACTATTACATACGTATCTTTCTAGTTTATTTGTTAATTAATATTATTATTATTAGATTATTAAAGGAGAATCTTTGGTAGTGTACACTATTACATACGTACTTTAGAGGTAAAAATTCGGGCCAAAAGCCCAAATAAAAATTTGAGACAGGGTCAGACACCTTAAAGAGGGAGGGTCAATTTTCACTCACGCATTTAAATTATTGATTCTGATTCATTGACGAAAATTTTATAAAAAAACTATTAGCGAGAAATTTTTAAATTTAAATTCTTTATGAGAGAAAAATATTATAGTAGAATTAGAATCATGGGTTTAAATGCATTTGCCAAACGAACCCATAAAATATTTTCAAATTTTTTTTTGAGAAATGGGTGTTCGGACTAGCCTTACCTAAACCGAACAAGCTTTCGAGTTTAGAACATTGATTTAGGCCAGCTTGTTTGGTCTGGTCTAAACTTGCAGCTCTATATGCAATGGTCGCAGTGACTATTGGGAAGAAATGATTTTAGGGTGCGTTTTGTTGATTTAGTTGAGGCAGTAGAGTAATAATGGTAATGGTAACTCATTAGAATAAATAAAAAAATTGATGTAGTATTCAATTAAAATTAGAGAAAAGAGACAAATACCCTTTAAAAGTGCATGGATAAAGACTCTTAGAGTATGTTTGGTAGGAAAGAAAAGTAGAAGGAAGGAAGAAGGTGGAGGGATTTTGGGAGGGAAAATGAAAATGTAGGTTGTTTGGTAGGAGAGAAAAGAGAAAAGAAGAGAAAATGGAGTGGAAAATAATACATGTGGGCCCCACCATTTTTTTTCTTTCCACAAGTGGGCAGAAAATGAGATGGAAAATGGGGACAACTCATTAAAGTGAGCAAAGTTACTAAACTATCCTTTTCTCCATCAACAGCCAAGCAAAAAATTTAAGGGTATAAAAGTAATTTACGAGTAAGATTTTTTCTTTCCTCCCAATTTAACTTCCAATACCAAACAAGTGAAAGTAAACTCATTTTCTTTCCATCTTCTCATACCAAACAATATAAAAGAAAATCAATTTCTTTTCCATCATTGTTATTTTCCAGCACTTCCATATTTTCTTTCTATCCTATTTTCTTTCCTTCCTACCAAACATAGCATTAGTTAATAACTTTTTTAGTTAAATAATTATACTAGTGAAAGGGTATTAATCACTAATAGAGGTAAAATCATGCACTCTTAATGATAAATTTTGTAATTTTCTCGTTAAAATTTTACAAATACTATATGTATGAACATTTTTATTTTGATAAAATTGTCCTTATTTTTAAATATATATTTGTATATAATTGATTATTTATTAGATTTTTATGAAAAATAAATGGATTAAGCATAAAAATTTCTTGGAATTATACTCATTGTAACACTTTGCCCTTTAAACTTTAAAACATAACATATGTTTCCACTGAACAATGAAATATTAACAAAAAAAAGCCCCATCCATTAAGTTTTTAATTGAAATTAACATTTAATTTGCTATTTTGAGAGTATTTTGACAATTTTATGGTTAAAATTTATTTTGAATTTAAACTAATTTAAATATTAAAAAAAAACTTCATAAAATTTTTTATTCTACCAAAAAGATCATAAATTTTTAACTTACTTTCAATTAATAATAGATGTATCATAATTAAAAGTTTAAATTTAATTTAGTTTTAAATTTATGCTAAATTTTAAACCATTGAGCTACTAAAATATCGTAAAATAACAAATTAAGTGTCAATTTTTGTTTAAAAAACTTAATGCAGTGGTTTTTTTGTTAACATTTCATTATTTATGGTGAATAGATGTTGCGTTTTAAATATTGAGAGGCAACATGTTATAAGGAATATATTTCAAAGATAAATTTTGTAATTAATCTTAAAATTTATTTTAAGAAAAATAATTTAAAAAAATATGTAAAGGAGTAACTAAGCCAAGGAGTGGGGAGGTAGTTGATAGGGATGGAAATAGGGCAAGGCATTGGAGAGGAACGCTTGGAAAAAATTGTTAAGGGCCTTCCCCAGTCACCACCATATTGTTTATCGTTAATGAAAATTTGAATAAATTAGAACAAAAAATGAATATACATGTGTACTAAATTCATTCCAAAATCAATATTCCGAGAGTTCAATATCATCAGAGTTTATAGGCTTTCATATTTCAATATCAAAGTTTGCACAAAAAAACATGATATAAATGAATGGGTGGAGCGCGTAGCAAACAATACGTGGGCTAAAGAATTTGATATCAGAATCATATCCTCGACAATAGTATTGCTAGCCTGACCACCAGAGCTTCCTCCTGTCAGGGTATAAGCTTGCCCTTGTGCTTTTTCTTTTCCCCTGTCATTGGTATTGGGCCTCTGTTTCCCTCGCCTACACTGTTGTGGTGGAGGTAGCTGCACTGATCCTGAAGCTTAAGGTCGAAACTGTGGGTAAAACGGCGGACGATAGGTTGGCGCGGGAGGGAAGGACATTTGGGTTGGTAGCTATGGCTGGAAGGTAAGCATAAACTGCGGTAACCTTTCTTGATTGTAGGAAGTGTCACTCTGAGATTGTTGGGTCAGCGGCTGATTCTGATTAGGACAATTCCTCCTTATGTGCCCCATCTATCCACAGCGATGGCATTTGGGTCTACAGGGTCCACTCCTGTCACTTCCAGATGAACCACTGCTCCTATTGACTACGTCTCTACTGGTTTGCCCTTAATTGTGGTTTTTTTCTATTACTTCATTATGGCCCTCCTGATGCAGAAGGCCCTCCTGAAGCAGAAGCTTGATTGGTGGCTTCCTTACTTTGATAATAACCTTGATTGTCTTGTTCAACGCTTATGGATGCGCTCACCAGTTCCTGGTAATTACGAATCCTTAGTGCCACCAATGATCTTATTATCGCGCTCTTAAGACCATTTTTAAACTTAAGGCACTTCAGATGTTTCGACTCCACCAACGATGGAGCAAACCGAGATAAGTCATTAAACTTGGACTCATATTCCCTCACCGACATATCTCTTTATTGTAAAGCCATAAACTTCATCGCCTTCTCATCCCGATAGCTTTGAGGAAAATATTGTTCATTAAAGAGGGCTTTAAATTGATCCCAAGTCATCGTCGCAACATCATGCCTCTTCCTTACTTGCTTCCACCTAGTACTCGCTTGACCTTCCAGCTTATACACCGTGAATTTCACCCAATACTCCTCCGGTACTCCCATACTATTCAAATGTTTCACTATGGATCAATATTCAGCTTCCTGAGGTCCTCCCTCACTATTGAATGTGGGAATAGGTCCACGTCTGAACTCATGAAAATAGCCCTACTTTCTATCCTCGGTCGGTCGCTCATTCTGAGCTCGGGTGGCCATCCCTTGGAAAGCGGCATACATCGCCTCCATGACTTCCTCATTCAGTGGTGCAGGTTGATTAACTGACCTACGACGCGACGACATCTCCTTTAACTGAAAATAAACTAGATTGTTTAGTGGATTCCTGATGTCATTCAAGTATGCACAATGCCATCGTTTTAAAACCTAGGGCTCTGATACCAAGTCTTGTTAGGCCTCGGAACAGGGGTTGGTGATGTGGAGGCTCGTTTAGAAGTTAGACATGATTGAGAAAGTGATTAAGCATTTGAATATATGAAAATCAAAGTCAAAAGTAGAACATTAAAGAAATTTCAAAACAAGCCCCACATTATAATTAAATTGGACTTTGAGAAAGTGATGGGGATTTTTCACAACTTTTTGAAAACAAAGTTCAGAACTAAGCCTCTGGCATCATTCAGGGTTTCCCCCACAAGATATTACATATTGTACACATATGAACATGTAAAGAAACAATAACAGACATCAACCACAGTCTAGAAGTGTTTAAAGTTTACAATGCAAGAATTTACACATATCTTACATTGTACAACATGGATGGAAGTGTGTACAAACCGCACAAGCTAGGGTTACCTGAATTTGCTACTTACTCAGCATTGCTTCTAAGGTCACCTGAGAGGGGTTAAATACATTAAAAACATCTTCTTCTCCTGGACCGCACAAGCTAGGGTTACCTGAATTTGCTACTTACCCAGCATTGCTTCTAAGGTCACCTGAGAGGGGTTAAATACATTAAAAACATAATAAAAGTGAGCAGAACGCCCTATAGGATATATTTTGGAAAATTTTATAAATAAATAGAAATGTAAAGTTCCAACACATCAGCCGAAATCTAACATATTTTTTCTAAAAGGAAAATATAAATTTAAATTTCGTATTACAGGCATCAGCAAGTAATTTATAACTATGATAAATTACTTACACAACTATAAGCATAAGCCTTATCACCATCGTAGTGGCCCGGTTCGGGTTTCAGGTTCTGCCCCTAAGGATACGATCTCCATATCCTATCTAGGCCATTAGTGAGCTTACCAGTTCGTAAGAAAGTATTCATTAAATCTTTAAAACAGTTTATTACGAGACCAATATCATTAATCAAGCTACTGTGTTAAAATACTTTTCTTTATCAAACATGTCCTTCCTTCAAAAAATTTGTATAGGCCAAAATACTTATAATCATACTAACAAGGAAATGGACAAGAATATCCTACCTCTCTGGTAGAGTTCTACGCTAGCTCCTTGTCGTCCTAGCCCGAATTCCTTTGAAGCTTAGCACTTGCCTTTCCGCTAATTCCACCATCAAAATAATATTCTAAGATTTAG